GGTGGTCTCCCAAGTAAGTCCCGCTACACTGAGCCTCATTATGTTTTCACCCCGCGGCTGCCCTGCCCGCACTGTCTCGGCTGTGGCTGTCGTTAGCACAGCACATCACAGCTAGCGAGACAGCGGGATTAAAACTGAGCACGGTGGAGATTTTTAGCTCGCAGGCTAGCGCCGTGTGTCAGTCTCCGCTCCCTCTGTCTAACTCTGCGTTTTTAATTCGCAGATACAGCACTTGGGAACCGGAGGAAAATATTCTGGACTCCCGCCTGTTCGCCGCTTTTGAACAGAGGTAAGATGTCTGTGTGGCCTTTCTGGGCAGAGCCAGTGAGTGTTCGGTAACTGTACGCTGTCCTCGGTGCACTTTGCTCCCGTGACACTCAAAATGGGTGTCTGGTTTTTCACAGGGAGCGTGAAAGGGAGCTCTACGGGCCCAAAAAGAGAGGACCAAAACCCAAGACGTTTCTGCTTAAGGTAAAGCTGGCAGCTTGCTTTATTTTTTTATTGCGTGTCTCTAATAAAGCCCCAACAAACCCTTCCTGCGCTCTCTCCACTTCTGTAGATTGTGGCTTCTTATTTTTTTTCTTTGAGTGCATTAGTGAATGAGCAGGTTAAATATGCTAATTATGCATAATTAGGACAGCCTGCCCATGAATGGGAGTGTATTCAGTTTGTTTATTGCCTAATGGGGATGTATTGACATGCTAAAACGGGCTTTGAATACCTAAAGACAGGGGTGTCAAACAAGCGGCCCCTGGGGCCAGAAGCACATCGCAAAAGGTGTCCCATCAGGGGGGGCTTTTTTCAACTGGGGAAATTGAACTGTTAATTTTGTGGTGATACCAGGCATTAGAATATATATGATAAAATAATTACTAGGTCCTGACAAATGGGTTGACCCAGAGAGTTTGGCATGTATCTGGTTATTTCTGCTTGTTAAATAAAATGTGTTTAACAAACAGCCAAGCTGTTTTTCCATCTTCTTCTTTTTTTTACACGCTCTGGGTCTGTTGTCTCTTTATTAAAGCCACTTTTAAAGAAAAAATGGAAAAGCTCCAGGTGGCATGTAATAAATTAGAATTCAGGAATGTTTAAGTTCTCCAATTTTGTAGATCAGTAATAAAAAAATCTCACTTGAATTTTAATGTACAAATTTATTTGCCTCTAAAATATAGTTGTAAGAACTATAAAACTACTCTACTTTAAATGACATGAGGTGTTTTTCTTTTCTTGAACACATGCCGTTTATGCATTTGTTGTCCCTGTTGTGTAATTTATAAATAGATTAAAAAAATATAAAACAAATAGTTTATATACTGAAATGGATATGTGTCTGATATAAATTATTTAATTAAAATTTTATGATTACATGTTACTTTCCAATGAGCCGAGGAAAACATCACGGCCTGATGCTTCATCTGTTCAGAGCGGTGAACCGTGAAAATTGCTTAATGAGCGGCAGTTTGTCTTGAACAAAATGCCAGAGTCTCCACTGACAGGGCTCGTTTAAAGGGGATTGGTAGAAGTTAAGTAATAAACATGGTGCCCTGAAACTAGTTATTGCTGTGAATTATTGATGTAAGATTAATATCCACTCTTTCGATAGTTAGTTTATTAGCAGTCCAATATGACAGGTGTAGGTAGAAGCAATCAATAGGCTGTTTAAATTACATTTTACAAATTAATAGAAAAAGCAGACGATAAAAGAATGAATGAATCCCTTTTAACTGATTCAGTTTGATGTTCGCTATGAAAAATGGTGTCATTTTCTTAAAATACTAATTTCAAAAATTTTCTGATAGGCTCAGGCAAAGGTGAAGTCCAAGTCCTATGACTTCAGGAGTGAAGCAGTCCGAGGAATGCGCGTCACCTACCCGACCCCAGAACCGATTGCCACCCCCAGGGCCAGAGAGGGCCTGAGAGCTGTCGTGCCCACCATCTTCCCACCGAGTACCGTCAACCGTGGAGAAAGCGTACGCGTCCGACCGCCTGAACTGAGCCCTCGTGAGCACCAGCAGTCTTTGCTTCATACTAGTTCAGAAGACCTCATCCACATACCTAAAAAGAGAGGTCCCAAGCCTAAGCCGCGGTTTAATGAGGTCTTCTCTGAGCACCATAAAAGGAGAGGGGAGGAGCAGGAGAGCCACGGCCCTCACAAACTGGCTAAGCTCCAGGGGGGCGAAGACATGAGGCTGGTCAAACTGGCCCACAGACATCCAGAGAACCACGGCCACAGCCATAAACATCATTACCACCACCATCACCACCACCATCACCACACACAGCGCTCTGGGGAGAGCTCCTACAAACAGCTGTACTCAGACCGCGGCCTGCATCCTCACAGAACAGACATGGACACTCACAGGATAAAGGACGTCTCCGCCTACCTGGTACCTGCACACTTCAAGCACCACTCCAAAATGAGTCTGAGTCGTCCCGCCGAGCTCCCCCAAATGGAAAAGCCTTATTTTCTGGACAGGCCGTCCCCAACGCGGCTCGACGACGACTTGGACGAAGTGACGTGGAGGCCGTCTCTCGGCAATGTGGAGAAGGTCCTGGTGACAGACGTGACCACCAACTTCCTGACGGTCACCATCAAGGAGAGCAGCACTTCTAAAGGCTTCTTCAAGGACAAAAGATGACTGACTGATGCTCTGTTTTCTGACTTTCAGCAGATCTGAAGTTTATAGGACATGGTGGGATTATCAAGCAAAGCAGATTTTGTATGTAATGTAAAAAGGCAAATAACATAATGTGCATATGTGTATATAATATAAAGCTGGACATCTATTTAATGTATTGACCAAATCAAATGAAGTCCCTTTCACATTGTGCAATGGTTAACATGAGTTGCATGTTTCCTTTGCAGCGAGTGGCTACTTTCTGTACAGATCTTGTGACTTTTACTATTTTGCATTTAAAACTAACAAGAATGTATTTTTTCCACGTTTCTTCCCACCTGAGCTGTGCAGCGAGGATATTTAATTCAGGTTGTGGTCTGAATAATTCTCTTTATTTGAACTGATTTGACTGAAAGGTTTCGCTTGATTTCAAATCCTGGAATAATATTTAAAAATTAACTCAAGCACTTTGAATTTAAAAGTATTAGAAAAAAATTCTTTATGTTGTCTTCAAAGACCGAGTTTGCCTCGGAGATTTCTAAAACCTAAAGTAAATTAACAAATTCAACACACTCTCTGAAGTTTTCCCAAAGTTAATATAACATTTTCCATTAACATAGTTCCTATATTTTACATTTTCATAGAAAAACGATCATACAGCTTTGTTGTAACTGACAAAAAAGAGGTTGTTGTCAAACTGCTTTTTAGACGCTTTTCAATAAATCATTTGAATTTCTCATTTCTTTGTGTTGTTTTTAAACCATCGTCAGCCCTCCGGGTTCCGCTTAGATCCATCAATTAGACCCGACAAACGACCTAACCGCCGGGCTTACTTTTATATTCCCCACATATAATAATATCTTTCGATTTCAACGCGTTGTTTAATATTTATTTATTTATTGAAATTTCTGCAAAGTTGCGCCAAAAGTTAAAGGCCTCGGGCTCATCACCCAGCCCGGCTCGCACAGTCCTGCGGGAGGCCTACATGATTCTCCCTCCAGAGTTGCAACAGCACAAATTTCTCCCCCCTCTGGTCAATAAAAGTCCGTGAATCTGCTTTTATTGTTTAATTTTTGTATGCGTCGTGACTCTACATGGCTGCATGCCCGCTTAGTTTTATTATTAAAAAAAGAAAACGATTGAAATGACCAAATGCAGCCAGTCATTCCAATAATTATTCCATTTTTATTCAAGGTATATTTAAAAGCAAACACATTTTTTATGTTTTTGATTGATTTCATGATATTTTCTGTGTATGCGATTGCGCCAGGACAGGCCTCAGACAACAGCCTCAGAGTGCGGTGAAAAATGAGAAACGGGTAAATTGTTCCGCATGCAGGTGCACACATTTCACAGCAATATAAAGCGGGGCTCTGCTTTATTCATCCGCGACACAGGCCTACTCACATGTGGGCCGATCGCGGGTTCTACGGCGTTCATACTGTACAGATTGGAGCGCTTCAATCACCGCACGTGTGTGGCGTAAAATCAGGAGCGACGCGGTCAGACAGGAAAACGGGTGGGGTCATTAACAATCAATTTTATCGGTTTTTAGAATAAAATAATAATAAAACATACATATGTCGCCTATAAAAATATGACAAAAACAAACCCTCTTTGGCTTCATTCGTAATTTCTGTACGTAAACAGACTGGGGGGCGAATACAGCAGGCCTGTATATGTCCTCCACATGATGCGGGTGGTGCAGTGGCTGATGTGGGTTCAAACTTTCTGAACGACTGTCTGTGGAGTTTGTGTTCTCTCAAAGCCCGAGGACATGCGCGTTAGGTTAACTGGTCATTCTGAGGTGTCACAGTGGCGACCTGTTCACGGCGTGCGCCTCCCTTCGCCCTGTGTCAGGTGAACGATGGTGCTTGTGTTCAATTTTCTGTCAGCTACAAGTGTGGACTGCCGTCTTGCGCGCGCACGTTTTGTCCCACATTTAGTCTTATGCATCCGGTCAGCCAGTTTATCCAAGTTTGAAATCCGGTAATTATCACACAAATATACTTTATCAGAACAGCAAAATCCTTCGTGTTTGTTTCATTTCCCCAAAAACGAAATAAAATGTTTCTTAGAGCTTTTGTAAAGCAAAGCGTGAGGACGGGGGGAAAGGTGTGTGAAGGGGGCGTTTAGACGCACGAACACGGCTAAGGAAAAAACATTCTGGCCTGCCTCCGCTTCAAGGTGTTAAGCAGAGAAAAAAAACGCCATCTAATATGCAAATAACTTGAGGCGCTAAAACTTTTATGTCACTGAAACCAGAATCCAGTCGACTGTCTTCAGAAAAAAGGAAATGATTAAGATCTGCATGCAGGTCTGCAGTCTCGCTCTTATTCAAACAAATAAATACAACTTTATTGGAGCTTATGATTTATTTTATTTTATTTTATTCTATTCATTAACAAATTTCAGTCTGTGCAGCTACAGAAATAAAGGCGTAAAGGAGCAAATTACAAAGAATTCACTCTAGAAATAATACAACACATGCATATTTTGGTCATTAGATTGAAAGATAATGAGAAAAGAGACTCCAGCTTCAGTCCACGGTCAGTCAGTCACAGCAGGCCTTTTACTGCAGAGAGAGAAAACAAATTCAGATTAAAAACAAGTTTGTCAGTGTAGTTAAAAAAAATAATTCTATATCCCCTTAAATCCATATGTACTGTGAAGTGAGGCACAAATCAGTCTTAATATTCATATTAACATCTAATATTCAGGTATAGTTTTAGATTCAAGCAGGCCACCAAACTTGGTTTACTATCTTTATGACCAAACCACATGGACATCACTTCACCCTTAACTGAAACTTTATCACAGGGAACTCAGATCCTCTTTCATGTCAAAGTGACACTTTGGCGTTATCACAATTTAACTCAGAACTGGCGAATAAGCCTGATTTTGTCATTCTTAACCACTGATAGTGAGCCAGTTTGACTTTTGAAAAGAGTTAAGCAAGAAAACTAATAGTGTTCAAAGAAAAGAGCCCTGGCTGTGAGATATTTTCTCACAGCTTTCTGAGGTTTCCTGTTGTGCCAAACAGTCTTGATAAAATCGCAAAAAACAGGAAGAGCACTAACACAACAGCAGAGACAAACTTCCAATACAGAAACAAGTCATTCAGTTCAAAAGAGACAAGGGCTTTAGCCATCAGGGAATAAAAGGTGTCTAAAAAGGTGACTGAGATGAAAACTGAGGGGTCTGTTGCTGTGCAGATGCACTGTGCTGTAGTCACTCATGAATAGTTTGCAGTTAGGGTTAGAAGTGAAAGTTGAGACTTCGGGCGACTTTTGCCACCTTTTAAACCGGGTGTCCATAGTTTCTGTCGCAGCGTGGGTAGCAGTGAGGGTTCAGCCAGTGCTCCAGGTTGGTCTCCCGGGCCCTCAGATCCAGAGCCTGCATGTGGAGCAGATGCTCCTGCAGGGAGAAGATTGACATCATTGAATAAGACGAACCAAAAGAAAGATGAGTGCACACTGAAAGAAACAACGAAAGAAAAATGCTGGAGCTCATTTTGCAAACTGAAACACAGCACAACATAAAATGACAGAGATGAGTAAACCGAGGGCGATATCACGTGTCCTGTACAGAGCTGGGGGATGTAATAAAAGCAGTGCACGTGCTTTCAGAGAGATTACTTTAAGAAGCTCAGGTACTGACAGGAACCGACAAGCTCAGAGTCTCAGCTGTAACCTGTAAATTAGATTAGGTGACTCGGACCTTTGTGTCCGTGCTCTCTTTGTCCCACAGAGAAAGGGTCAAAGGTTTTTGTTGTTTTTCTTTTACAGGTACCATTTGTATTAAATAATATGTAATGACACAGTTTATTATAAATATACACATAGAATATATTCTGAAAAATGATCCTAGGTAAAATTCCCTTTAATTATACAATAGATGGAATTATATTGTATTTATTTGTTATATTTTATTTAATTTTCATTTGTTTGTTTTTTTTACCTTATTTTAATTTTTTTCAACATATATATTTTTCTTGTCCCACTTGACCTTTTTTGACCTTATTTTAATTTTGCATGTGATTTAATGCAGGAAGAGTCACTAAATTACACTAAACAAACAAAGACTAATAAAATGAGGTGATATCAAAAGTATTTGCAATGTACAAAAATTCTAAAAATTCATTCATAAAAACACTCACAAAGCTTTAACGCTTACCATCTCTAAGCAGACTATAAACAATAATAATAATAAATGTTTTATAAAATATTGTAACACGCTTTAAATGTTCTCTGAAGGTCTATGAATGTTTTAAAAATACTGCTTTTGCAAAGCTCCTCACCTGAGTCAGTGCTGACTGGTCTAGAAACAAAGTGATAAGACAGATTTGCTTATGCTTTTATATCTTCAACTTAAAACTGTTTAACCCGCATAAATGTGATTAAACACTATAACTAAAAGCTTTAAAACACACACAGAATGAATTCATTATATGGACGAGTGACATGAGCAGGACTCAAATTTACCAGAAAAACCAAAATTTAAATTGCTTGCAGCACTTACACTGTGTTGCAATGTTCGGCTTTTATCCTGCTGACAAACAGGACAGCACAAACTGTTGCAACAGAACTGAAGAGGTTCAATACTCTTGGTTAAATCTGTGCTTTTTCCAATATACTAACTGTGCTCTTTGCTCTGAGTGGACCTTACCCTCATTGGCTCATCGGGGTAGCCAGCCTTCATTGGCCGGTCCTGCCTCTTGGTACGGAGCAGCTGCTTAGCTACGCTCTCCTTGATTATGGGGTTTGCATCTGAAGGGAAAAAAATGTAAAGATAAGAGTTTGGAAGTAAATGTTTACTTACGTTGACTTCTTTCGGTGCTGTAGAAGAAGGTTTAGCAGGTTAGGATAAGACTGTTTTGCTCTTGCCTTGTAGATGTGAGTCAGTGTTTGTGTTTTGGCAGCTTCCTCTGTTTTTGCTTATTCTTAGACTCAGGAACTAAAACTGCCTGCTTTGAATTTAAGATATTTTGTTTGTGACATCTGTTTTCTTGGCAGCTAAGTTGTGGTTAATAATAATAGCATTCCTCTCACTGAAAGCTGTACTCAGGCCCATAAATAAAACTCTCACACTATTTGCTGCTCGTGAGCTGTGGCTGGCCTGATCTATTTAGCTAGTGTCTATGTGAGGCTGTTTATTCCCCAGTGGCAGGCACACACACACACACACACACACACACACACACACACACACAGCAGTGAGGGCTCTCTGTCTCCCTCTCTCTCTAAGCCTGGGCCTGCATTAGGAAGCAGGGTATTTGGTGGAAGGTAACAAAGTGCCCATTCAGCCCCCTCGCTCCCCAGGGAGTCGAGCCCATGCAGCATGTGACCCCAGCAGGCTTTCTGTTCCTCTCCTGCCACAGGGAGCTGCTGTGAAACTCTGTCAACACAAGGCCTGAGCTGCTGGTGCTGCCTGGAGCCTCAGAGCAACGTGGCAAAAATACTCACGGTGTATGTCCACCTGTGGATTGCCACAAAAATAAACCATTCTGATGACATGTAAGTCTTCTGGCTTAAATCAGGCCAAAAGTCAATTGTTATAAAATACAACAGTGTTTCAAAAAGATTGGGCTAAAAATACAAATAAAGATCTTCTGCACATCTATCTAAATATTTCTACCACAACAAAAGGAAGGTGCAGCAAACTACCCTAAAAATAACTTATTCTTACCACAATGGTATGCATTACTCTTCAACGTCTAAGGATATAACTACACCAGCTCGCTCACAATTGCAAAAAAACAAGACGCAGAGCACCTGAAAAGGTGTTCTGATGTGACAGGTCACTGTCCTCCATGCGTCAATTCCCTGAGAATTTCCTACCTGTGTAAATGGTCAGCAGGACCACGCAAAGCAAAAACACCACCAGCTTCTTCATCTTTTTCTTTTTCGCCCTTTTCCTGCCTGAGCCCTCTCAACTCTGAGGTCCTGACCAGAGTCCAGAGGGGGTGAAAAGAGGAGATCCTCCTCCTCCTCTGCTTCCTCCTTGACTCTGGCCACAACACACTGCCTCAGACTACCAAGGTTTCAAATAAACTGTAAATATTAGTGACACATTAGCACATGTAAAGATATATAGTTTACCAATTAATGCTTTAAAGGTGAACAGTTCCTGTGAATAACTAACTAATTTACAGCTCCTTATTTTTATTATTGTACCCTAACAGTGTCGTTTTGCATGATTGAGTGTTAAAAATTATCCATATTATCGTATGCTGAGCTTTTTGTAGACCCCATCAGTTCCTCCTCTTTCTGAAACAAGCTGCTTTAGATCCTCCCCCTTTAAGACAAATTTGTTATGATCAGTTAATCCATGTAAACAGAAGATTTGCATGCCAGCTGGGCGGAGCTTCTGTATCCTCTCAGTGACATCATATAGAGCAAAAAGTAGAAAAAGCAGTCTTAAACCACCAAATACCTGCAGAGATGAGGCACGTCAGCTGAATGGGACAAACAAGATCCAGGCTATAAACAAAAGCAAAACAATCCTAGCAGTGGCTGGTCTGAAAGACAGCACAGAGGCACTAATCACGGCAGCACAGGAACAAGCTCTGAGCACAAGATCCATAGAGGCTGGGGTCTAGCTCACAGATACAGACAGACAAACTGGTGATGGCTAACCAACCGGACATAGTAGTAGTGGACAAGCAGAGGAAAACGACCATAGCAGAAGTACCAAGGACAGAGAGAGAGCTGGAGAAGATGTGGAGGGTGAAGGCAACAGTGGTCCCAGTGGTAATCGGAGTGCTCAGTGCAGTGACCCCCAAGCTGGGCTAGTGGCTTCAGCAGATCCCAGGAACAACATCCGAGCTCTCTGTCCAGAAGAACGCAGTCCTAGGAACAGCCAAGATGTAAAAACAAGGAAAAGCAGAATAAGTCTATTTCAATGTATTAAACGTAGGTGTTAGGTTAGGTTGCAGGTAAAAGTCTGTCCACTAGATGGTGCTGCAAGCATAGTCATATGCATAGTTATAGTCTTGTTTTTAGATGCTCTTATATTTTTATGTCATACCAGCTGTGCACCCCATTCATAGTATAATATTTACATGTATCCGTCTGTTAACTACGTTTTATTTTCCCCTTTCTTTCTGCCTTTTTTCTTACAAACAAAAAAAAATGTTTGTAAGACAACATTATTAAATAAACGCGTTTGTTTTTTAAAGAATATTCCACACAAAGTACACTGAAACGTCACTTTGCTTGACCTGTGAATAGAGTCTGTACTGTGTGGCGCAGCAGGCGAGTCAGAGGAAATAACCACGATGACCGGACATGTGAAAGACGGCATCATGGGAAGTGGAGGATCCGCTGTTTCTACCGTCTAACCCATTTGGAGACCAGTCGGCATGTTCTGCCCTTTTCTCGTTCAGTTTTTCCACTTTGCATTTCAAATTTTTACTCTCCAAAACACCAGTGATATGACTGAATAGTCACTAATTAAGGTGAAGTAGCAGTCTAGCCGTTCTCAGCAGGGTTGTTATTCATTATCCTTTGTCACACACATTCGGACGGTGTTCCATGTTAAGTTACCCCTGCAGCTTAACCTTACACGATGTCTGCGCTAAATAAAAAATCTGAATCACAGCAAAGTTAAGAGGGTTTTTTTTAAATTTTATTTCATTAAAAAAAAAACTGCCACAAAGAAAAGGAAGTGCAATTGCAGCAAATATGGGAAATCTCTAGAAACTGGATTGAGCCGATTGAATGTGATTCTCGCAGAATTATGGATCAGGGTTTCCTATTTTCTTTTCTTTTTTTTTTTGTTAAATCGGTTATTTGAGTTTCACGGGTGCGCCCGTAGCATACAAACAGATGCATCCTAACGAAACTCAATAAACCAGCAGCTAAAATACAGTTATGAACAATGTTAAACGTTATTCTCAGAGAGAAATAAATCGATTCTGTCCCCGAAATCCAACTTTTGTGTTAGTTTCAAATATCTCTGAGCATCACGGGTAAAGTGTCCCACACTCTCTCTCCCCTGCCTACATTTAGTTTGCTGAAGTCTGGTCATCCTAATCTAACCCTTAATATTTATTTAGCTGCTGTACAGGAGTGCCTCCGCTGACGTTCGATGGAATACGTCATTGTGCGTCATTGTTACCATTTCCTCGCGACTCCCTTTGCACGTTTAACTTAATGCACGTGTCCTAATAACCACGTGGACTTATTACGGCCTCATAATGTTACTGCTCTGATTAATTCCCGGGACCCAGAGAGCTTTCTGTTCTCTCGACGCGATTATCTAATGCGCTCTGCGCTCGCAAGGCGCATGCGTGCTGATAACCAGCTGCTAGCAAGCCGGGGCAGCTGAATCAGAGATGAAATTTGAATTGTGAGATGTCGACTTTCAATTACTTCCGTGTTCGCTCACATTCCAACGGAAACGGAAAATAATCTCACCCCTCAGGGATCCCAGTTCCTCTTAAAGTACTGTTAACCTTATAATGCCAAACACAGCTGACCAAGAGCATGAGGACGGCCAGTGGTGAAATGAAACACAATACATTTACTGAGTGAACAGGTCATCAGCCTCACAGGGCAAACACCGACGACCACTAACACTCACCTTCACACCTACGACCAATTTTAGAACCACCAGTGAACCTAACCCCACTAACTGCATGTCTTTGGACTGTGGAAGGAAGCCGGAGAGAACCCACACAGACACGGGGAGAACTCCACACAGAGATGCTGGATTCAAACCCAGGACCTTCTTGCAACAGTGCTAACCACGAAAACCACCCTGCTTCCTTAAATATGATAAATACTTCTATAATATAAAACTTTAAACATTTTACAAATATTGTAGGCCTACATTGTGCTTCGTGCCATCTATTATAAGCGTTTAGTTTGCTGAATCATTATTACTGAAATTACCCAGCAGTATGTAAGTCATGACGTTTTTTTCCTCCGTGGGTTGATCATCTTGTCATGTGAAAACTCTCTGCTGATGCTCTATCAGGAGGTGGCTCGTGGTTTTAACGTCATATCTCTGTCCTCTTGTTTACACCTTCCTATACAAGAAAATATATTTTAGCTGGATTCAGAACCAGCTTCCGGCTAGTGTTTGTGATCATGAGCGTCGCGTGGAGCTGTGGAGCGTGTCCGGTCTCCTTTAGGTGCCGTTTATCTGCCTTCTACTGATTTCCGCTCGTTAGCGTCTCGCCACGGTCCCGCAGCGATGTGCGGAGAAGGGGACGAGGCGCAGGACGACTGCGGCTCCCGGGAGGAGTGGACTCTACTGTTCTGGACCTCCGTGGCCGTCGTGGTTCCGGTCATCATCACGCTGTGGTGCAGCGCACAACGCTCCAAGAGGAAATCGCACATGAAGGATTTCTTTCGCAAGAGCAAGCACGGCTGGCACTACACCGACCTGTTCAACAAGCCCACCTACTGCTGCGTGTGCTCCCAGCACATCCTGCAAGGCGCTTTCTGCGACTGCTGCGGCGTGTGCGCCGACGAGCAGTGCCTGCGCCGGGCCGACCGCAGCCTGTCCTGCAAGGAGATCATGGCCCCCTCCAGCCCCGAAGGAGCCATGGAGCATCGCTGGGTCCGCGGAAATGTGCCTCTGGCCAGTTACTGTGCTGTATGCAAGCAGCAGTGTGGGACCCAGCCGAAGCTCTGCGACTTCAGGTAGCGTAGCTGGACGAGAACCGCTGAAGGGATGCAACAGATGTGCAGCCGTGTTTCTGCAACCAAAAGCCTCTTTTTACACCCACGAGTTAAAAGAAAAATGATCAAGTTTCCTGAGTTAGAGCTGGATGATAAAAGACCTCACTCTTTACTGTGGTTATTTAGTCTTTTTTATATTTGTAGATTGGTTTTTAATCACATCGATTTCTTCTTCTTTAGAAATTTAAATCTGGGTTTTCTCACGACTCAACATGACTTTAGGGTTTACATGTAATAACGGAACCACCTCTAATGGGCTCCTGCTGCTGTTCAACATAAGAAATTTCAATCTTAAAAGACCCCACCTCAGCATGACACTCATGCCCCGCTTTGTGAGCAGTTCAGGGTCTTCCTTTCATTGGCAGTATTTCTTTTTATGTGCTTCATCACCTTTCTTATAGTTTCGCTCCCCCTGCTCCTCCTTCAGGTGTGTGTGGTGCCAGACCACAGTGCACGATGACTGCATGGAGAGCTTGACGGATGGAGACGTGTGCGACTTGGGCGAGTTCCACAACCTCATCATCCCCCCTCACTACCTCTACCGTGTCAACAAGCTGCGCCGCAGGCACCCCGACGAGTACAGCAAGGTGTTGAAGTCACGACTGGCCGTGTCATAGTGCTCCTACGTCGGGTGCTCCGGAGATGTTTTAAAAATGCGTTTTCTGCTTGTATCTTGTAGCTCGGCTCTTCCTGTGGCAGCGGCTGGACTCCAGTGTTGGTCTTGGCTAACACGCGTAGTGGGAACAACATGGGGGAGGTGCTGCTGGGGGAGTTTCGCACCCTCCTCAACCCGGTGCAGGTCAGCTTGCAGCTCGCCTGCATCTTTTGTCTCAGTGAGAGCAAACTTTGTCATTGCTCTTTTTCAGATCCTGGAACTAATCTTGTTTTCTGCTTCACCTCCAGGTGTTTGACTTATCTCAGCTGACTCCTTCCAAAGCCCTCCAGCTGTGCACCCTCCTTCCCCCCGGCAGTGTCCAGGTGCTGGTGTGTGGAGGTGATGGCACAGTGGGATGGGTGCTCGATGCCATCGATGCTATGAAGCTAAAGGTGAGACGTCTCTGCGCTCAAGAAAAAAGAGCGATCTTTCTTTTACACATTACTTCTTCGCTTTGACACTTTTCTACTTTCTTTTGTCAGGGCCAGGACCAGTTCATCCCCAGGGTGACCATCCTGCCTCTGGGGACAGGAAATGACCTCTCTAACACTTTAGGCTGGGGAGCTGGCTATGCTGGAGAGATCCCCGTGGAGCAGGTTCTCCGTAACATCCTTGATGCTGAAGTGGTGAAAATGGACAGGTGAGCGGTGTTGATACTGATGACAGGTACTCCTCAGGATCAGTCAGAAATGCCTGAACAGACTGATCAGGTTCACCAGTCTTTTTAAAACTGTAGTCTCTTAGGTATTTGGGGAATTAAAACACCCTGTGTCCTGTGTCTTTGGCGACTATATCTATACAAAAGCGGTCAGATGTGTCTTCTAGTTGACGGCTAGTGTTTACATTTTCTTTCTATATTAGGAAATTAATTGGTGAGTCACTTTGACCACTGTCGATCCTCAACATCATGATCATCCACTAGCTAACCCCTAAGATGTACCCTACTTTATTGTCCTTTTTGAGTTGAATAGGATCCATACCTTTAACCATAACCATGAACTCATCAGGAAAGTATTTACTAAGGTCATAAATCAAGGGGTACAGCGTTTGTTATTCTCATAGAAAACTTAAACCTCGGTTTCTGGCACAATTTAGCCTCCTTCCAGAGGTACTTGGGTGAGAGGGTAAAGTACGAAAAGGTCAGAACTCCAGCAACAGTTGCTGAATATGAAAAAACTTTACTGGATAACATGTTTCAGCTTGGGGCCTTCTGTAGGGTCGTCATCAGGTGGCTGTAGCTCATGTTCAGTCAGTGGTGTGGGCTTGTAGTCATTTACACTGCAAATCAGATGTGGTCAAATGCGTCTCACTTGACCTCGAGAAGTGGTTTGAGTGGCTGGGTCACATTGTGTCCTCATGGTTGTTTACATTGGATTTAATGTTTTCCACTTGTGATCTGATGTCACAAGCTGCACTTTCAAAAGCATGTGAATTACAAATGAAAAGGACATTTATGTTTTATCATTTACGCTTAAAAATTTAGAGCTGTGTAATGTTATTACAGTCAGCATGAGTACCGAGACGTGAGGAAATGTAAATAGTCCAAATAGAAATAAAACTTTGATTCCTGAAATCCAACGTTTTGACCCGTTTGTGTTTGTTTTCATTCCGCTAAACACCTTCATGATTATTTTCAGATGGAAGGTCCAGGTAGCATCAAAAGGCGTCTACTTTCGTAAACCAAAGGTGAGTTTTTTCTCTCTGTGCTGATTGATGAACACCGATGTCTTTCGTGACATGTCAATGCCTGACCCGCGGAAGCACTCAGCTGTACTATAAAGCAGACGTTGGATTTCCTCCTCAGGTTCTGTCCATGAACAACTACTTCTCTGTGGGGCCCGACGCTCTGATGGCGCTCAGTTTCCATGCACACCGTGAGAAAACGCCCTCCTTCTTCTCCAGCCGCATCATCAACAAGGTCCGTAATTTGAATAAACAAAGCAGGCTCAGGGTTTAAATATGAATGCAAAAACCTCTTAATCCTTTAACTGTTTTTGTTATTTTTGTTGTTTTTTTGTAGAGACATAAAGATGCAGCTTCATTTTGTAGTAATGAGTACTTTCCTCTTCCCACAGGCTGTGTACTTCCTGTATGGCACCAGAGATTGTTTAGTGCAGGAATGTAAAGATCTGGATAAGAGGATCGAGGTACGGTGGACTTGTGCACGTGATGAAGCATTATGCAAATTTTGTTTTAAGCTCATAAAGAGAATCCGAGTCACTGTAAGTCACTGCCATATCAAGCTTTCTCTATAAATGTGAATTGGTTGTCCTGTGACTTCAGCAGGGGGCAGAGAAACCAGTGTCTCATCTAGAGATGGACCGATCCGATATTACGTATCGGTCCGATACTGACGTAAATTACTGGATCGGATATCGGAGAGAAATAAAAAAATGTAATCCGATCCATTAAATATCAAAAAAGCACCTCACAAAACTTGCGGCATGGCGTAACTCGGCTCATAACCGTAGCATGTCGGAGCAGCGTGTTCACGTGATAGAGCGGCTGTGTGTATTTGTTTTTGTTTTTTTTGCTGGGAGTTTGCAACCCTGTTAGTTAGGTTGCTTAATATTTCTGCTAAGGACTCTTTAAAATACCAGAATAGGGAGGATGGTGCAGGTTTAAGTTTATTAGATTGATCAGTTTTGCTGAACTATGAAATATTTTGGGTGCAGTGTATTTTTTACATACAGATATAACAGAATAGTTTTAGTGTTGTTGTTTATTTAAACTTGAGTATGATCTTATACAAAATGCAGCAATATATTAAAAAAACAGTTTTATTGATTAAAAAACACGATATCGGATTCATATCGGTATCGGCAGATATCCAAATTAAAATTAAAACAGCGTCTGTATATAAGCCGACTGGTCCCAGTGTTGCCAAGTCGGTCCAAAAGCTTCTGATGAGACATGAAAAGAAAGTACACTGTTCCAAAATACAAACATGTGAATTTACTTTAGAAATAATTATCTTCACACAGGATTTGAATCCTTCAGTCCTCTGCTCACTTGCGATTAGTCAGAGTCTCCTGTCACAGAGCCCAAAGACGCTGTGCAGTAATCCAGTTCTTTATCAGATCCCGTACAGTTTGCTGAATGGGTGTTTAGATGTTTTTGGTGCTGTTATGTAGCCAAGCTTTAATCAAAATTCACACTTGTCTTGATTACACTTTAATGAAAATGCAAAGGTTAAAAAAACAACCTGACAGCTTTTCAATTATAGGTTTCAACATTTCGGAATCAAGAAGTGTTAATTACTCAGCTTTGCAGGTGTAAAGATGTCTATTTTAACTTTAGTAAGAGCCTTGTTTCCAGTGCTGCCAGTAATAATGCTAAGCTAATTTATTTATTTATTTAATGTGTAAAAACAAATTAGATATTTTATAGTCAGCACTGTCTCGTTTTTCTTACCTGGTTGATGTTTTCTATGTTTTGATCAACGTTTTCAGACATATTTGCCCATTTTGAGGTGGTTTTACTGACAAATGTCTCGATCAGTGTGTATCGTAGCTACAGCTGTTTAATATAAGACATTGTAAGAGAGATCCTTATTAAAAAATGTTTTTTATAACACATAAAGATTTGTGAAACATTTATGTGTGTTTGCATGTGTTCCTGCCACAGCTGGAACTGGATGGGGAAAGGGTGAAGCTTCCCAGTTTGGAGGGCATCATAGTCTGTAACATCGGCTACTGGGGCGGAGGCTGCAGGCTGTGGGAGGGTATGGGAGATGAACCGTGCCCCCCTACCCGGTAGGTCATTTAAGAGCATATTGGTCAGGAAAATATAAACGGTCCATCTGGCACCGACTGCTTCAGGTTACTATGGAAAGTAAGCATGCTATTTCCTGTCTCTGCAGGCTGGATGATGGCCTGTTGGAGGTGGTGGGTGTATTTGGCTCCTTCCACTGTGCGCAGATCCAGGTCAAGCTGGCCAACCCTGTACGGCTGGGACAGGCTCACACTGTCAGAGTAAGGCTTCCTGTTTACCTCATTTACTGGCCACGCAGAACGACAGTAATTACTTTTCACTGCCATTCGCCTCAATCCAATCTAATTGTGACTAATCTGATTAGGCTTTTGTTACTGAGCTCCTGCATGTGTCCATTTACCCTCGATTGATTTCACCTTCATTCATTCTCCTTTTACATTGTGACATAAAGAGCGTTCATTAAAAAATTCACTGTTAATTAAGGCCTTCACACACCAAGCATGTAGTGAAAAAGCGATGCGTTATTGCAGAATAGATATCCTGATGCATGCTTTTGAACATATTTCATGATATCAGGGAGTGAGTTGAGAATAATTTTATTTTGTGCAATATCTGCACAGATTTTACACACCTGGTGTGTAAAGCCTTAAGATTACAGCAGCTACTTTCAAACATCATTTTGTAAAAACTATAAATGCACACACCTGTGTGTGGATTTGCCTTTGCTGCTAGAGCGTACCCACAACAACAAACTCATTTTACTGGTATTTGAATACCTCACATATGTGGTGATATTTTGTACACAGGCAAAAAAAAGTCCAATGTCCAAAACTTGAAAGTTGTGTTTTACGGTTTATTTATCCAGTTTGGCAAGCAACAAACAAAGATCCATTTTATGTTGTTTCCTGCTGCTTCTCCAGCTCTGGAAAAAACCACAGGCCCACCCCGGTGCATGCTGGTCCTATATTAGTCGTTTTACTTACAGAAAATGGCCTTACAGTTTTTCCTGTCTGACTTACAAAGATACAAAACAAAAAATTAAGCAATTATTAACCTAAAAATAAACCTTGTAAGTAACCCAAGATAAAAAAGTAAACCAAGAACACTTTTTTTTTTAAAAAGGAAAAAAAGAATAAATGGCTCCAGCACTGCACAGATTTTACACGCCTGCTGTGTAAAGCCTTAAGATTACAGCAGCTACTTTCAAACATCATTTTGTAAAAACTGCAAAGGCGCACATCTGTGTGGATTTGACTTTGCTTCCAGAGTGTACCCACAACAACAAACTCATTTTACTGGTATTTGAATATCTCACATATTTAACTAAATACATTTTAAAAGCATCGCTGCTAACTGAGGGTGTAGGTAATGGAGGAACAGAGTTATAGATGAGAAGAAAAATAATCTATATCAGTAACATTTTTTGTTTTGTTTGCTCTCACAGGCTTCAATCAGAAGAATTAGAAATAAAGCTTAAAATACTGCTATTAATGGCCAAATCCAGTGTTTGCCTAAGCTTGCTCTGAAGCCCCCTGGTGGACTCTGAAGGTACTTTAGGGTGGCACTTACACATACCTTCCAAAAAAAAATAAAAATAAGAGAATACATATAAAATCTTTCATATAAAAAATAAATACTGATTTAAAAAACAGGCTGTTAATGGCGAGGAAAGCTTTAAACTGGACTGTTGCCAATCTGATCTGAAATAAAGTTGTTAAAGGAAAAAAAACAAAGATGAAAGTTACTGATTTTAGTCTCACGTTGAGTTGTTATTATTAAAGGTAATAAAGTAAACCTTTTCTTAGCTACACATTTGTATTATTGGATTCTACTGGAGTAGCTTTGCATTAATCACAGTTCAAAATAAGTCTTATTTATCTTATACATGTCTCCCTATAAGTCAACTTTCTTCTGATTGGCTGTCTCTCCTAAACAGAAGGTTTGTACATCTGTGTTCACATCTGGAGCTGTGTGCCTGTGTGCTATATATGGTCATCTACAGAGCCAATAGTAGAAAAAAAACCTGAAACAGTGATCACTTTTATATACATAGATTTAAAAATTTGGTCGTGTTTAGCATGAGCATCCACTGTTGTACCAGTATGTATACTTGATCGCTATTTAGACTGTGAATGATTGGCCTAAGCTAACCTATAGGCCTATGTATGATTTAGCTAACATTTTTTCATTGTGCGCTGCTCTTCCATCTCCAGCTGGTTCTGAAGAGCTCCACGATGCCCATGCAGGTGGATGGAGAGCCGTGGGCGCAGGGTCCCTGCACCATCACCATCACCCATAAGACCCAGGCTTTTATGCTGTACCACAGCGCAGAGCAGACGGACGATGATGACGATGAAACCAGCGCCTCTGAGACGGAGAGCCCAACTCCTCACGACTCACCCAGGGCGGCGGGGCCGGCGTCTGCTCGAGCGTGACCCGCCGCAAACATCGTGTGACGTGAAGCTCTTGTTATCCTCGTTACTTATTTCTGCCTAGTTTGCATTATTCCCTCCTTTGCATTAGTCTTCCTCCTCCGAGGTCTTTGTAGTCACATCGTGATGATTAGAACGTTTTGATTTAGAATCTTTTCAGAGAGCTCACAGACGGAGAAAGATTAGTTTGTTACTGAGCTGGCGTGAATTGTTTCTTCGGTCTTTTATCTACACACTCCCCTTTTAACTCAGAGCTCAGGCAGTCTCTCCTTGGACAGATTGCTCTTTAATTGCACTGATCCTCCGTGCCATAGATAATCTATAGACGACGATACTGTATTTATTACTCTGTATTTACAATTGAATTCTCCGTGCTGCCCTGCAGGTATCGGTGAGCCATTCTAACAGGTTGCCCAGGTTTAACCGACCCCTAAAAGCCATGTTTAAATCAACAGCAGGTGATGACGTTGTGTTTGTTGAGAGAACAGCAGGTTGCGCTGTCTGGTTGATGCTTTATTTCCCACAAATTTTGTATTCCACAAAAAGCACAAAAGGTGAAAGACCTGCGTTTGCTGGCAGGCCCCAGTGGCTCATGTGTCAAATGTGTTATCGTCTTTGAGGATCCTCATCGTCACACTGCTGGCAGGTTTTTAGTCACACAGGCTTTGAAATGTGTGGACTCGATGGGGCATGGACTCTGATAAAACCGCAGTGTGTTGTCAATCAGCAGACATCAGTGTTTACGTTAAAGTGCACTGCCATTTGCCAAACTGTTAAATTATAATACGTTAAACTGTATAAACTATGGTTGACATTCCTGTATGAGCTACAGGAAATAGCCAGAGTTGCTGAGGCCTGTTTGGGAAGTACTGCCAAGTAGACGTAGTTTAGTGGGTCCATTTTGCCTTCATTTTGAACCGTTGTTTTTCCTCTGTTTTGCTCCTGTTTACATATTTTGTGTTGCACTTTTTGGCATTTACACTGATAAGTACCTTAAACTGCCCAGGATGTTGACCTTTGATGTTACTGCCGATCGTCGTAATAGCTGCTGTTGAGATTATGCTCCCATTAACCCAAAAGTCACCACAAGGTGGCCCACTTAAGACAGTATTTCTGTAGACAGGATAATAGAGTGGTCTTCGTATATATTAGGATCATTACACGCATGTACGTATCCATGTAATCTTCAGGTGAAATACTAATTCCTGTTTACTCAGCAGAATTTCTGCAGGAGGACTTTTGTGTTTCTGTGTTTTGCTGTTTGAGGTGGTCTGCTGCGAGGAGTCATTTCAGGAATGTCTGTAGCTGTTAGTTAGTGCTTCGTTTTGAACCCGGAGCTGCTCCGAAGGCTGAACAGGGATACGAGTTTTGCCGCGCGATGCCTACTGCTTTCAAAATATGCACCTCCCTGGCAATTAACCAAACTGCATGGTTTCATCGCCCTCTATTTGTTTGGCGAATGTTGTCGCTCAAGGACATCTGCTTGAACTTTTACCTTGTCATCCATGTTTACCAGAGCTGTCTGTGTTGCACTGAATTCTGCTTAAATGTGACAGGGTTTTAAAGCCACTAGGTCCTTAGCCACGCTAGCATCATGCTTCTAGTATATTTATAGAGAAAACACCCTGCTTTTTGTAGGAGTCACTACAGTTTTGTAGAGAAAGTCATCTCCAATGAATCCTAATGTTTGGTTGATTTAGAGCACTTCAGATCATGATGTGATACTCAAAACAGTAAAACTAAGTGTCTGTCTCAGGCTCAGCTACAGTTTTCAAACTCCAAACACAACCTGAGAAATGTTAGCATGATGCTAATTCTATCTATACTTTTGTTTATAGAGAATTAGCATAATTAACATGGCAGGAACAACATGCCAACATCCTTGCTTGGAGCTGAATACAGCTGCAGTGGGTGTCATGGCTGCATCAGATACACATATTTTCCATTAAAATTTAATATTATGAAACGTGAATTAGACTGCTGATTCCACCAGCGTTTCTGTAACTTTAGCTCAATCTTACCAAACGTATAAAATATGGACGTTGGTACTGTCATGTCACCTAAATTTTAGCATTTTGACTTTTTGGTTATTTTGAGCCAGAAGTCACCATATTTGTATGAGAGGGTGAAGTGCCACATTTTTAGCTTGATTACCAAGTTCTGTGTGTAAAGACTGTTACATTTAATCATTAATTATTAGTAGTATTATTATTATCATTGTCTTGCTCTCTTCCACAGCAGTTCTTTGTCCTGTCTTTCCCCCCATACACCTAGCTGCTCGCTGCAGGTTTCTTCCTGTTAAAAAGGAGTTTTTCCTTCCCACTGTTGTTGTGCTTGCTAACAGTGGGAAGGAAAAACTCCCCCTATGATATAGGGGGTCGACTTAGTTTTCTCTGTACACTTTAGGATCTTTACTGTTGAATCTGTAGTGCTTTGTTTTGAAGCGACTGCTATCTAGATTTGGATAATTAAATTATTAATTAAATATGAGTGCAACATGCAAAAAACAGCCCTTATTATGACATGCTTTTTAAAAATTATTATTATTGTTATTTATTTACAAATTTAAAAAAATATAATTAAGTTATAAAAAGTGAAGCACAACCTTGGATGGACTGTAGCAGCAAGCTAAGTTATATGTAAGATAACTGCAGTGAAAAGATTACATGCTCAGTGTAACTACATTTTCCATCGCATTAATCCGATTATCTGAGGTAAAGTCTAGAAGACAGCGATTGTTTACAGCCGTCTGTGTTGACATCCACCTGTTACAGCGCTAACAAAGCAAACTATAAGCCTTAATAAAATTCACCCGCTGCACAGCTGTTATGAAACCCTCCACATTTTTTCTATCAAGCTGTGAACGTGTTTTCTTCTGCGGCAAAGCTGGACACTCGAACACGGCACTCTCGTTTGAATAGAGCCTCAAGTGGTCATTCAAGGAACTGCACTCCCTGTGATGCTAGCGCGGCTATTGAACTTGTTTGGGAGATATGACTGTGACATTAATGGTTGTTTTGAATTCTGCCAAGTCATAGCTTATAGTTTATTATTTATGAAGACACAGAACAGTATTTATTTAGAGTCTAAGGCAAATTGAGTGAAGCTGTGCAGCTGTCCATCACTGGGATTAGATTACTAGAGCTCAGCTTTTGCATTTGAAATTCAAATTGTTACATTTCACTGTTGTGTGTACAAAAATGCTGTTGATATTACTTCGTTATTGCATATTTGAATATAGCTATTTCTTTCTGACATGGGTAAAATTATAAAAATTATAAAGAGTGAGAGACATCTGCAGAAAACACAAAAATCACAAATTTTTATTACAAGATGACTCCATTAGAAAAACAACAGAAAAACTTTAAACACAGAAACGCCATCTGAGGGGGGAAAAAGCTTTTATCAAACAATCATGTCAAACAAAGCTGTTTACAAAAAGAATCGTAGCGAGGGTTTGATGGGTTACTACTACTACAGGTGAGAGAAACTCATTTTGATTGAAATGAATGTAATGAAGCGATCTTTTGAATTTGATGACATTCCCATAAATATTTTCATATATAAACCAACTGTGTTTGTCTCTTTATTCACTTTTATATAGACATCTGAAAAGCCATGATCTCTGGTCAAAGATTGCAACAGCAGCTACATACACACTAACAAACATGACACATGATGTTTGAATTCGTTAATCATTCACCAGTTTTGCAAACACTGATAAAGAGACCGTTTGAAACAGCAGCTACAACACTTACACTGTGTTTTGTGCTGACCTTTATTCACGTAATATTCATCTTGGATCCTTTTAATCATCAAATCATTATTTAAAAAGGAAACATTGGGTGTCATTTTTAAGGTTCTGATGTAAAGGGAGAGGATCCCAAACTCTTTAAGAAAAACAAAACTGATGGTCTCCACCAAGGCCAAGATCAAGTGTTAATGCAAGTGTTAATCAAACATCATCGAAGACTAAAAAAGCTGTAATAATAATAATGATGATGGTGGTGATGATGATGATGATTGCACAGCACTTTTAAAGACAGAGTTAAAAGAGCGGTGTGTTCAAAGAACCTGACCAGAAATCGGAGGCTAACTGCTCCAATAAGGTCTCAGCAGGTCTGTAATTCTACTACTACTAATAATAATAATACTAATACATTTTATTTGAAAGTATCTTTCAGAAGACTCAAGGACACTACACAGCAGAAAATTAGAAAGCAAGCATAAAAGCAGACAATTTACAAAATCATAAAACAGGGTTAAAATAGCAGAATGGAAAAGGTTACGTGGGATAAGCTATTTTGAACAGGTGAGTTTTGAGTCTAGACTTAAAAAGAGAAAAGGAAGTGACATTTCTTATGTCAGGAGGAAGGGAATTCCAAAGTCAAGGAGTAGAGCAGCTGAAAGTGGCAAGATGAGGGGAGGGGACAGAGAGAGAAAGAGAAGAAGAGGATCTAAGACACCGAGATCGAAAGTTGATCTGAACCAAATCAGAGAGATATGGAGGGGAGAGATGATGAACAGCCTCACATTTATACAAAAGTATTTTAAAACTGATGCGATATTTGACCGGGAGCCAATGAAGCCGCTGTAGGACGGGGGTGATGTGGTGAATAGAAGGGGTCCTGGTGATAATACGGGCAGCAGAGTTCTGGACATG